AAAGTTGATTAAGCTTTTGCAGATGGTTTGATTTGCTGAGGTAATGTGGAAGAAATGCAGATGTTTTAAAGCTTTTGTTTTAGATGCTTTAGGCATCTAAGTGGTTTAAAATGAAAGCTTTTGCTTTGCATCCTTTAGAAACATCCATGGCTTTTGAAAGGGAACATATGGCAGGGTTGTGAGTGCCAGCATGGAGTCTGAGCTACTGGAGCTGCCCAGTCAGGTTAGTTCGAACACCATTTGCCTGGAGTAGAGCATGACTTGCAAAACCCTCTGGCCTGACCCAAGGAGCTCCCATTTCCTCTGTGCTTGTGATTTATCCATCAAGATTCCAGATCCCAAGGACATAACCTCTCTTGGGAATGAGTGGTGTCCTCGTGGGTGGAAGTGTGTTTGCAGCTCAGAGGAGGTCAAGCTCAGAGTCATTGGGATAATTCAGGTAATTTTCCTGAAAGGCTTTTCTGTGAAGGGCTTTTGGCAAGGTGATGACTGCCTGGGCCAGCCTTGGAGGAGCAGAGGAGACTCCTGACCTCAGGCACTGAGGGATCCAGCAGTCTCTGCTCCCCAGGTTAACTCCCAGGGGGTTTTCTGTGTTTTCAGCAGCCCAGGTGAAATCTTAAATGGCAATAAATTCTGTAATAAATTGCCAATCTGTGGCAGTCTGAGAAAATCCCAAGTCCTTTGGCACCAGAGGACTCGCCTGGCCTCCATCTCCATCCAGCCCCACGGTGGATTTGGACCCACATTTGATCCAGGACACAATTTTCTTTGAGAAGCTGCTTTGCTCTCTTCATCTGGCTCAATTCTCTTGCCTTTGCCCAAACAGGATTTAGGTGTATTTATCTAATCCATAGCCTGTTCCTCTTCTAGGAACTTCAGAGAGTCCTTCTCTCCCTTTATCTTTCTCCAGTGGCAGACAGCAGAAAATTTGTGGAAGCATGAGGGAAATGGTTCCTGCTTAAGATGTGAAATCTCAAACAAATGTACAAATGTGTTCAGTGTGTTAATGACTTGCTTTGTCTCTGCAAGGTAGCTTCTCTCTGCCCTGGCAGGCAGGTCACTGCTTCCCACACTAATTCTCTAACCTACCTCTGTGTGCAGATACTTAACAAAAAAAAAAAGTCCAAACTGTACTGTTTCTCTTCTTCACAATGCTGCTCTTTTCCAAATAGCTGCAGTGGTGTGTTCTGGCTTTGGTAGTGGTTTTTTTTCCCTGCAGTAAAAATTTCACCTTTTTTTTTCCCCTTAGGGTTTGGCTACTAAGAAATCTGCTAAAGCATTTCCTCATCCTTTTGCAAAATCACAATTGCTTGGTATCTAGGAGAATCTTTAAAATCTAAAGCTGGGATCACAGGCCATGAAAATCAATCTGGCTTTGACTGCACCTGCTAAGCAGAGAGCTTGTGGGAGATACATTTATATAGGTTTTTCACCCCCCACTCTTTTCTTTCCTCAGAGAGCTAAAATTTAATTACAGAGCTTGGAAAACTCCTCACATCATGTAGAGACTGAGCTAAATAAAACAATGAGAGCAAGGCAGGAACACAAATTGTAAAAAAAGCACCTCATACTTGAGATTTCTGTGCTATTCAAAGGTTTCATTCAGCTCCTTTTTAAATGGGAGGGGATGTGTGGGGGTTGATGGGTGTGAATACTTATTATTTTCTGAAAGGGGGAAAAGAAAGCAAAGGTGGCTTTCAATATAATTCATAGGGCTAATGGGTAGATCTACCTGGTTATTATATCCTAAAGCCTTGGATTGACTTGATTTGGAGTGACTGCCGTTTCACTGGTGCTCAGAAATCTTTCCTAATCATTTTAGCACCACAGGTCAGGTCCTAGCAGAAGTTGTTTGGAATTTAACCTTGGTAATAAATGTTGGATTCAGGTAGTTTTCTGTTAAAATAGAGCTGCTTTTTAAAAAAATATTATTATTACTATGATTATTAGCACAAAAGAGGCAGGAGCAATTGATCTGTGATCTTTTTCCTAAATTTTACAGGACTGTAGCTCTAAAGGATGTCAAGGTGGATCAGAAGTTTTGCCACAGTAGGGACAAATGGGTTAAACTGCTCATTTTTCTGCAAGGACTGGCTAAATAGTGCAGGGTGTGAAGTGCCAGTAGTAGATATATTAAGGATAATAAATGAGTTAAATTTGCTTTGGGGTTTTTCTTAATACATATTTTTAAAACTGTATTTTTTGGGTAATCATTATACATAATTTGTTTTAAATAAATAAAAAAATATTCCCGAGGGAAAGTTTCCATCAGAACTTTTCCAGATCTCTCTGGTAGCTGTCACCAGAGTATTGTGTTTGCTTTGGATAACTGAGCACATCTTCTTCAGGTTACAAATTAAAAGCTTAATAAAAGACAAGCAGTTAATAAGCAGAACTTGGTGCAGTACAAACAATTGAAAAAATAGTGTCTCCTCTCCAGATCTGCCAAATCAGGTCAAACATCAGTTTTTGAAACATTTCCTAGATCTTGAGTGTGTGTTTCTACAAGCTTTTAAGAAAGGGTAGAATTGAATTTTCTTCTGGGGTTGAGGCTCTGTGGATCCGCTCCCAGGTGCTCTTAAATATAATCACAGAACCCCAGGATGGTTTGGGTTGGAGGGCTAAAACCTTCCAACTATCCATCAATCCTAAAGTCCATCCCATTCCGCCCCCTGCCATGGGCAGAGGCACCTTCCACTATCCCAGGCTGCTCCAAGCCCCGTCCAGCCTGGCCTGGAACACTTCCAGGGATCCAGGGACAGCCACAGCTTCTCTGGGCACCCTGTGCCACTCCCTCTCAGGGAAGAATTTCCCTCCTAATACACCATCTTAATCTTCTCTCTATCCATTTAAAATCATTGTCCCTTGTCCTGTTCATTTTGTATATGTTTATTCATTGTAAAGGTTATTTCTTAAACCTCTTCATACAAACATCTTTGTTTAAACAAAGAGGACACTTTCTGTGGGATGTTGTCTTTGAAGGGATGTTCTGAATCTTTCTTTCCCTTCTCATTTCTAGCAAGATTTTGCCTCTGCCTTTTTATAATACAGGGTACATCCTGCTCTGCCAAATTTTTTTTGCTTCTGATTATTCAGTGTTGCACATAAGCAGCTGTGCCCAGAGAGAAGTTCCCCCCATTAATCAGGAGGTGCTGAGCCATATGGCAGGTGAGGATGGAATATTTGCAGCTCTGGGGTGAGCCCCTCCTGTTCACAGCCAGCTTCACACGCAGTGAGTACCCTGCAAATGCATCCCTGCCAACACCATCAGGTCCTTCAGCCCAGGCTGCTGAGTGACAGCGTGGCTTTCTGGAGCCTTTTCTTTCCTTACTGAGCTCTTGCTTCTCTTCAGTCCCCACTGAGAGCCCATTTTCCTGTGTAATAACTCAGAAAGGGACAGAGGGAAAAGCTGAGGGTGCTCTGAGCTGTCTGCACTGCCCTGCTCTTGATACTGTGCACATAGGGAAGGTGCAGGTGTGTGTCCAGTGGTGTTTCTCAGCCTTGTGCTCAGCTCCTTTCAGTGATCCATCTTCTGGAGAAACAATGTGCAAGAAGCCCTCAGTGAATTCAGTTTCCACCACAGCTATCATAACCTGCATCTATGGATTGAAATTGCCTGGGTTTGGAAATTTTATTTCAGCTGAAGATGGCATTAGCTTTGTAGTGTTAGTTTTTTAACACAGCATGCAGTTGGATGAGTGTGGAAATGGGTGTGCTTGCAGCAGAGTGAGAAAACCTCTACGCACAGCATTGCCTTTAGTAGGTGACATAGTGGAGCAAAATTGCTGCTCTTTCACCCCAGAAGAGCAGGCAGCCTGTTCCTAAGGAACAGTGGGATTTCTGCAGCTGTATTTGTAATAGGATATTTCTGGCCTTAAACTGCATTTTAAACTTCGTTGAGATTTCTGAGCAGTTGCACGTAGGTTTGGACATCTGTGATGCACTTGATCAGCTAAAAAGTGAAATCACAGAGTTGCTGATGGATCACAGGTTTTCTTTGATCCTTTTGGATTTTAACCATGGGATAACCTTTATCCTTTCACTGGTAGAAAACCAAACCATCAAAAGGGCAGCTGATCTTAACTGTTTGAAGCTTGGTGTTGAAGCCAGGGAACTACTGATGTGTTCCAAGCTTGACTGAGGCAAAAAGGTCATATTAGTGCTCCTTTCCTGGTGTGATGTGCTGTCCCCTTTGGTAGTCTGTACCAAAACACTTGGGATGTGTTTGAAAGGCATCATTTTATGTATTGGCAAACCTGGAGCTGACAAGTGACATTGAAGCAGGACTGAGCCTTGTTGTGATCCCACAGGTCATGGCAGTGGGATTTTGTGCCCTTCCTAGTAAAAGCAGAGCCTTGGCAGAGAATTTCAGGGCTTTCATGGCCACTGCTCTCCAGGCAGCTCCAGTGTACCAGGGCAGTGTTCAAAACCTCCTCATCTGCATGCATTGTTTTTTTAGTTGTTTTCTTTTCTAACAGATGTGGGTACATAAATTTCCCAGGTTTTCCTGCTTTATCTTCCAGTAGCACACAGAACTGGGAGCTGGAAATTCAGCAGAATGCACTCTGGAGCACAGGCCCCTCCGTCTGTTTGGGTGGAATATAGTTTAATACCAAGCTGTAAGGTTCAGGCTCGCAATAACGTGCCAGGAATGTGGAGTCTGCCTGGCACCCTGACCTGCACATGATGTCAGAATTCCTCTTGCTTTGTAAGATTATTTATAAGATTTATTTGTGCTTTATAAGCACAAACTACCAGAACTGTGTGGTTTTCCCTGGATGCAGAGGTTATGGAATAGCAGGCAGTGTGTACCTAAGTTGGTAGCTGGTGATGGCAGACTCTCTTCCCGCTTCATTCCCCAGTGTGGAGCACTCTGTAAGGATTCAAGGCCCTGGGGGAGAGCCATGGGCCTTTCCCTTGCAGGGAGCTTTCAGCACTTCCAGCAGCACATGCCCATGTGAGTCCATGCCTGGGGTAACCGTGCCTGTGCTTCCCTCCAGGACGACTTTCGGAATAAAGTTGAAGATTACATTAAGCGCTACGCGAGATGATGAAGGGAGATGGATGGCAGCAGCACAGCTCCGCTCCAGGGTTATCCTTAACTTCAACAGCAGCCAAACCAGCCCGGATTGTACCAGTCCTGTGTCCATGTTGTACTGAAGAAGAAAACTAACTTCATAACCTGTTCATGTTCAAAGGAGAGTTCAGCATAAATACAGCGAGAAATTGTGTCTGTTGGTTGAAAAAGTTGTCTGCTTCCTTTTACAAATGTTTACTCTTCTGAACTGTACTGTATATCCTGTTGATGAGATATGCTTGAGAAGTTAAAAGAAATCACTATTGAAATTGTAATTACACTTTTTTTTTTTTTTAAACTCTTGCCTAATCTGGAGGGGGGAAGGAAAAAAAGAAAAACAAACCCAAAAAAGCCAAGCAGAAAAGGTGGCGTGTTTTTGGAACACTTTGAGTTGGCAATAAATGGTCTCCTGTGAACCAAATCACAAAACTGTTGCCTTTGATGAGCAAAAACAATATGAGCTTTTTCTAAGAGTCACTCAGCTGAGGCTTAGAGCTTGCCAGAGTGGAAGTGCAAAATGAGATTCTACTTCTGGTATTGAAATTCTGAATGCTATTTAATGTAAGTATGTTTTTGTCACAGTTTGGAATTTTTACATTGTTAATTTTGGGACCTGTTTGGGCTACAGTATTTGGTTTAGTTTGGTTTTTTTTGTTTCTATTCATTGTGTGAAGTAGTTGAAAGAAATACAAGCTAATATGTAACTTAAGTACGTGTTTAGTATTAGTAAAATTATATATATATATATATAATATATATATTTCTGCGAAAAAATTAATGAAAAGGAGATTTTTTTTTTAAAGAAATCTGCCTTTGGCTTTCCAATGTGGATGTGGTGAGGGAGCATCAGATGCTGTTTGATCTAATTAAGGTAAATCTAGGCAGCGTTACCTGGAGAGCACCTAATTGTGTTCTCCAGATTCCTGCACTGAAAGGGAATGACACAGCTGGAACCACAACACATTTCCCCCCACTTGTGCACACTTGTCTTTCTTGATTTGGAAGGATGTAATGCTGCAATTGCCTTTTCTGTCAGGAGCTGGATGGCACTGAGAGCCTGCAGAGGAGAGCGGCACGTACCTCAGGAGCAGCTTCAGTCTGTGTGCCAGAGCTCCCTGGGCATCCTCCAGGGTCAGAGGAGCTTTTATAAACCAGAGAAATATAAATGTATGTGTGGTTTCACACAGAGCAAGTGTGTGTGTGACCCTTGGGCGTTGACTGTTGGGGTTTTATCCCCCCTTCATTCTTTCCTGCTGTTCCTCTGCTGGAGGTGCTGGAGGACATTAAAAGAATCTCCATCACGAGCACAGCAGAGCTGGAGTGCAAACTAAGCATGAAACTTGGTGTTGATTTTTCCCTGTGCCTTTTCCTTTACAGCTTCACAAGCTCCTGTAGCTGTTGCTGTAGGCCTGGGAAAGCAGGGAGGTGAAATGCAGGGATTGGCATGCAGGAGGAGAGCTTCAGCTGCAGATAATACAGGAAACACAGATCAGCCCAGTATTTTCAGCAGGCAAGTGCAGTGAGAAATCTTTGCTGCCAAAACAATTATGTCAGCAAAGGTAAGGAGTAAAACACTCACAGAAATAGCAAGGTTGGGAAATACATCCAGATTTTGCTTATGGCATTAGAAGGACTCTCTTTGAGTTGAAAACTCAACCAGGTTGTTGTAACAAAGTAGTTCTTGCTGTAGAGGCACCCTGGTACTGTTAGCACATTCCATCCTTCAGGAGGAGGGGTCACAGTCCCCATTTCTTGGCCTGTCACCATGGATGGCTCCCTGCTTATGCCAGAAGCTGCTGCTGCTGTGCCCAGGGCAGAGCAAAGCCAGGGTGCTGCTTGGGGGAGCCAGGGAAAGCTGTGTTGGGGTACCAGCAGCCCTGTGAGCACAGAGCTGCAGCCATCAAAGCCATCCCTGCCTCCCAGAACGTTCCTGTTTAACCCCTTCCTTGTATTGTTTCTTGCCTGGAGGAACTGAGCAGAACAATAAAGTTTTTGGATACTGTTAAATACTGTACAAGAAGGTCTGAGCATTGGTTTGTGCTCATCCAAGACATGGGGAGGGGGGGGATCCTAGATCTCATCACCTCACAGTCCAGGAAAATAAATGGAATTTTTCCTTAACATGAGGAGATG